CCAGCGTCCCAGGTCCTTCGGCGTTACCCGGCGGTTGACCTTAGCTTATTCGGTTCCACGCTTACATACGTGCAAACGCACGTATACGCACGCCCACCTAGTCGCGTTTTCTTAAGTGCCACTCGAACAGGAGAAGCCGCGGCCACACAGCAGGGGGCCTTTGCAGGCGACACCCCCCTCGGATAATTGCAACGCACCACTCACAGACCACTTGAACTCGCTTCACAATCCTATTAAAGCAACTGCCATCACCCCACACGACAGACAGTCCACACTCTTAGGCCTGGCTGGACGCAGTCAGGACCAGCCCTGGTTTGCCAGTGGCCACTGCAATCTGAGACTGCAACTGGGAATTCCGTATAAAATAAACCACTCCTTCTGGTGAATCTCGCCTTTTAATTTCAACCTGGGGGCTTTGACCTGATGATTGTAGTGATCTAGGCACAACCACGGCTTGGACTCCTACAAAGGTAGGGAAGCAGCATTTTCGCAAACAGCTTCTGTAAAAGCCTGTTTTACAGATCTCCACGCTCGCGCTCAATTTTTTTATGCCTGTTTTTCATGAACTTGTAAGAGTAAGGAGGTTTGCTTCTGCTCGAGGTCAGCTAGCCCTGCCTAACAAAAGTGTTGCCCCAGAACTTGGATATCCGCTCGAAATTCGAAACTGTGACCTTGTTGGTTAGTAGTCGGTGTTCGATCGAGTACATACAGTGGCAGATAGGCGTGCACCGCTCATAGTTTAACCTACGCCACCCGGCGGCTAATCATATAGGCAGAAGGACATTACCGACAAAGACAAAGGAGACTAGGATGGCCATTTCTGGCTTATTAGCCGTCGTCAGCTGCTCATGCCCAACCCAAGTGTTGCCCCAGAAATTGGTGCCCCGCCTGAGGTTCGAACTTGCGATCTTGTTAATTAGAAGTCCAACGCTCTAACCACTGTGCCACGAGCTGGCTGTCTTGTCGGTGAACCTTGCTTGCTTTTAAACCATGCTTTCTCACGCACACCCCCTTTTCCACTTGCAGGACGGTCCCTTCTGCCGCGCAAAGTGCCCCTCCTGGAAGTATGCAGATGAAAAGACGCAAACCTGCCGGGACTGCGCTCCTGTCTGTCAGCAGGCGCCCTCAAAACGGCCGGACTTCTTTACCGGCCTGCGGCCGCACCAAGTCGGCCACCTAGATGTCTGCAGTGGTCCTGGTGACTGGCCGGGTCCAGGAGGTTGTAACTTCTGTGAACAGGTAGCTGTCAGTCCTGAGACGTCCGGCTGTGGAGGGGACGATGGCCGGGAATCCTCGGATGAATGTGCATCGACTCTGCGTTGTTTGATTCCCTATCAGGTACAAGGGCTACGCTTGTTACCCTCTACACATGGCAGACTCAGTAGCCCGTAGTGTTTTTAGTTAATTACGCTGTCTTCTTATGTGTAGTTGGTACAACCTACAAACTGAATCACATTTATAGATGATAAGGTTCTGGTGATACTGAAAGGTGCAAAATCCCTAACCGTATACCCACGTATAAAGCGAGTTAATATAAAGGCGTACAGAATTGTGTGCGTCTGGACTTTTCTTCCTACAGAAGATTGAGCGTAAGCATCACGGGCAGATAAAGTTGCCTAATCGGATGAAATCTTCATTAAGCAATGAAAAATGGAGAAATCAGTTTGGTAAACATACGTTTTTGGCACTTCATCATTGGGGAGATGGACAGGGTCTATACATGTCCTATGAATAAAACTC